TAATGGGGGTGAGAGGAGGCGATGAGCACAGGCCTTGTCTTCAGTCACAGAAATGGTAGCTGTATGTTCCAAAGCTTTGCTATCTGACCAGGCAGTCATAATGTCTTCAACAGATACTTAGCCAGTGATGACGATGGACCACTAGAAACTAAAATTAAGCTTTGAAGGGTGTCTGCACAGAGAAGCACACATCGGAGAGACACAAACAAACAACAGAATGTGATAAGTGCTATGAAAATACGGGCAGGAGGCCCAGGGAGAAGGGAATTATTTGGGGACAGTTTCCAGGAGACAATAACACTTAATGGCATTCTTAGTAAGTGAGCAGGAGTTAGCCAGGGAAAAAGTGGGACATTCAGACAATATGATAGCTGTGCAGGGTCATGGCGAGAGAAGACAGAGGGCATACTTGAAACTACAAATAGCAAGAAGTGGTTACAAATGAGAGCTTAGGAGAGGCAGATAGGGCAGGCAACCAAAAGATAGACTATGGGTGGCCATAGATTGGTTAAGAAAGACCTTTTATACAAAATGATGATGATGATGATGATGATGATGATGATGATTCTGAAACAAAAAAAAAGTGATCAAATGCCTAGAACAGTGGTTAATATCAGAAGAAAACAGAGCAGAAGTAGCTGACTTTTGTCACTGACTATTTTGTGAGGTGCCCTGGGTACTTGGAACAGGATTCTGGGTAGGAATGATGAGGAAAGTGTGGCATTGGGATGCCATACAAGTACGTCACAGACCATGTACTCCAGTGGCCCACGGAGTTGTGTTCCAGTTCAAGGGACCAGGAAGTGGCAGGAAGCACTGAGTTTTAAAGAATAAGCTGTCTCCTTAAGCTCCTTCTAGGCTAGGAGCCCCGACTTCAGTAAGAAAACCATAAAAACACTGCAATCATGTGGCCATTTCATGTACTCTAGTCTGTATGTGTGAAGCAAACCCAGAAACATGTTTGTGTCACAGTACCTTGGGGTCTTCTTAGAGTCATGGGCGGGGACACGAATTGATCTGAATGCTTTTTGGAGGCAACTATTCCAGAGCCCTACTGAGAGGAGTTGGGAGCCAGAGATAGTGCTAGAATTGTCGGACATGAGTACACATATGTGTCTTGTTTTCTTTTGTTTTGTTTTGTTTGAAGCAGAGAATATGTATAACCAGAGATAGCCTTATATTCCTACTGCCTCATTTTCCCTGGTCCTAGATTCCAGGTGTGTCTTAGTGTTTTTATTTTGCTTTTATAAAACACTCTGACCAAAAGCAACTTGAGGGGAAAAGAGTTTATTTCACTCTCACAGTTCATCATCAAAAGCAGTGAGGGCAGGAACTCACAGGGCAGGAACCTGGAGGCAGGAGCTGATGCAGAGGCCATGGAGGAGTGCTGCTTACTGGATTGCTCTCATGACTTGCTCAGTCTGCTTTCTTATAGAACCCCAAACCAACAGCTCAGGGTCGGTCCCCCCCACAATGGGCTGGGCCCTCCCACACCCATCACTAATCAAGAAAACGCCATACAGCCTTGTCTACAGCCAGATCTTATGGAGGCATTTTTCTTAATTGAAATTCCCTCCTCTCAGATGACTTTAGCCAGTGTCAAGTTGACATAAAACCATCCAGCACAAGGTGTATGCCATTATGCCCGGATTGAGTATTTATTTCAATTTAAGGGAATAAGTTAGTGTAATGGTTAATCTTGGTTGTCAACTTGATTGGGTCTAGGATCAGCTAAAGACACATCTCTGGGTGGGTCTGTGAAGATAAACCGAGGGGAAAGACCCTTGCACAGAGTGGGCTCTGCTTTTGAGAAGTGGCCCAGATGTGAGGGTGAGTCGGGGGGAGGGGGGACAGAGCTGGGGTAGCTTACATACTTTTACTCCTTGCAGATGGGTTCATCTGTTGCTGCCACTGCTGCTGTCTCCCTTTGCTGATAACAGAGCCCAGCTTTATCAGCCTTCTAACAGAATAAAGGTCCTTCAGGAATCCTCCAGGCTTTCAACACCAAATTGGGACTGCCCAGGCATCCAGTTTGGTGAACTGAGCAGCCACCAGGTTCCCTGCCTCTCTGGTGCACAACCATTGTTGGCCCAGACTGTGTCATGGAAGCCAACCTAATATATGCCTTTTGCAATGTTCACTCTGTCAGCTCTGCTCCTTTAGAGAACCTTGACCAATTTCAGTAGGTAAAAATGAGCTGTTTCAAAGATGCACTGCTTAGTGCAAGATTAGAAGATACTAACAACACCACAAGCTGTCTCTCTCTTTAAAAAAAAATTAAAAATGAGATGGTTTTCAGTTTCCAGAACCTGCTATGCCCTCTGCTCTTTGCTGCCAGACTTTCCTTCTGCTGTCAAATGACTTAGTACAGTATTCTAACTGCACTCTAATATACCTGTCTTCCTCCATTCAACCATAAGCTCCATGAGTGTGGGGCTTACTTGTTTTACTAGCCATGTTATCCCTGGTGGTTAGTATCATGTCAAACACTCAGCAGTTTCAAAATAAGTATTTTGAGCAAATGAACCAATGAATGAATGTGTAAACCAAAAAAGGAATGTTAGAATGGGCTCAGGCCTGTGTGCTGAGCTTTAGTCAGCATCTAGAAATCAGTTCTCGCCATTCTAGAGGAGATCAAGCATCATGTCTGGGTTCCAAGCCCATTTTGAGGGTTTGGGACCAATACTGGGGCAGCAAAGGGTACTATAATGATTAAAAAAGAGTTCCCAGGGGACTGAGGAAAGTCACACATAAAAAAAGGCTTTTAAGTGAGGGTGGAATTTAGCTCTAATGACCAGTGACATGTGGAAGGTGCTGCGTGTCCATCCTGGCTCCACACTGAGCTTATTGGTGGACGCCCCTGTCCTGGAGAAGGTAACCCATGATGTGTCCTGAGACACTGGTCCAGTACATCGAGGAATCTTCCTATGTGTACCCACAGATTAGAAATTAGGGACAGAAATGGGGTGAGGATCAGTAAGAGAAAGCATACAGAGAGTTTTGCAAGGTACTTTTATCCAATGAAGCCAATATTTCAGATTGCTGAAGAATCTGAGGATAAGACTTGAAACATCATCAAACGGCTTGAAGATCTACAATAAAGCTTTCACCAGCAAAGATTAAGGTGACACTGTTGTCTTAATCTTAGATATGTAGCTTCACCACCGACACCCAGTTGGTGAGGTCTCCAAGCTTCAGTTCCCATGGCTGTCCACTTCGGATACGTGCAGGGAGCCCCGGACAGGGAGAGCATGCAGTGGAGGCACTAAGCGGTTCCTGTGTGGCGCCGGGACCGGGCTTTGGGCAATGAGTAGAGGGTCCAACGTGGAGAGTGCATGTGTGGCTCTCCATGCTCTCATTCCTCCCCGCCCCACCATGCACACACCTTCCCAAACAGTCATCAACTTCAGTAGACCCTCAGAGGTCTTCTTCAAGGAAAGGACATTCTTCTAACCATCCCCCCAGGAGCCCCCTAGACTTCTGAGAGTGTGTGCCACATGATAAACCTTTAAAGACACTCGTCCACATGTGTGACCTACCTCCAAAATGAGAGCTGGGACATCAGAGACCATATTTGGGGGTGGGGGGGGAAGAATCTCTCAAAATGCACTTTCTCAAAGTCTATCAGCTGTTAGTCCCTTGCACATTAGAATTGTCTGGAATCCTTTCAAGAAACAGCTGCCGCATGCCAGTCTGAGCAGCAATGGCCGGCTCTCAACGCTGGCTACACTCTAACGCCGTCTGAAGGACGCTGTGCTTTCTGTTCAGGCCGTGTCTGTCATTCCGGCTCTACCACTCAGATTTCTGTCTAATTGGTCTGGAAGGAATGCATCATCCAAAGCTGGAGAACGCTTTCCCTGCTGTATTGATTTTCTTTGGATGCAGACAGAGCCGCGGGTGGGGCAGGAGTGCGGTGTAGGTGGTGTTGCCATGATAGATCAGATTCTTAGCAAGGAATGCCTTCATTGGAGGGCGGTGTGAAACAGGGTATTTAACAGATCTCTTTCCTGTGGTTGCGGCAGAACTGGCACAAATCACAGATTCGGTCTGTCCAGCATGGGGTGTATTAGCAACATGCTAGCTTTGTCTTGTGAACGTGCGTGCAAATGTGTGCTTTCCATTTTCCCTTCTTGAAATTGTCCTTGTATCTAGCTCTTATTTGCATAATGACAATGACCAAATTGGGCATGATTCATGCTCTAGTTTTACCCAGCGATTAACTATTCTAAATATGTACATGCAAAAAGATGTAGCAATGTGAGTAGAATATGTATTTCTTGTTCTTTTTTTGGTGTGTGAGTGTGTATGCATATATGCATGCATGTTCATGTGTTTGAATGCGCTTTGTACATGTGTGCATGTTTGTATGTCTGTGTGCATAGTTGGGAGAGGACCCTTGCGTGTGGAGGTGTGTGCACACACATCTGTGTACATGCATGTGAAGGTCAGGGAACGGCCTCAGGTGGTGTTCCTGAGGTGCTTCCCACCTTTTATTAGAGAGAGGGCCCCTTGAGGCATGGGACTTTGTCAAGTAGGCTCAACTGGCCAGCCAGAAAGTCTCCAGTATCTGTCTTACCTGTCTCTGCCGCCCATCTCACCATCACCGAAATCGCCACTCACACTGTGCTGGGGTTTCACACAGCTTTTGAGGATCCTAACTCAGGTAAGGGCTTTACTGACAAGCCCTTTTCTTGTGGAACCTATGGATAAAGCTAAGACTCCAGAGGAATTCTGTCAGTGGACACTCTGGGCTCTGACCCAAGCCTTCTAGCAGGATGGAGTTATTCTCCCTCTGTGGTATTATTGAAGGAAAGGTTTGAGAAGCAATAAAAGTATTTAAAATGTGACACTCTAACCTGACTTTCCTTCAGATCCTAGGCAGCTGGGGCATCTTGGCTAATCTCAAATGCTATAAATAGTACGTTATTTGTCACTTTGGTCCCAGCCAAGGGTCACATAGAAGCTAAAATAAATTCTGAAAGCCATTTGCATGAGTGGCTTAACTTTATTCACATGAGAACTCAAGGGACTGGCAAGGACTTCCTCTCACATTTCTTCCGAAGGGTTGAATTAGCTTGATGGCAGACAGAGTGAGTTGGGGAGGTGGGGGTGTTGACACAGACCAGGAGCTTGCTGTTACTCTGCATCATCGAAATTCAGTTTAATTTTTAACCTGATGGCCCGAATAGTGCACACGCTAGGGAACAGATCTAAGGCTCGCTGGCTGGCAAGCTTTTGGCAGCCCACAAGAACAGCATCTTTAAAAAGCACGTAAAGGATCTATTACTGCATTGTGAGGGTGGAACAGAGATGCTGGAGGGGCCAGCGGAGTGGCTTCCCATTCCAAACACAGCAGCGGAAGCTCAGGGCGCACAGCAGTCATTCCCAGGAGAGTGGCATGGCCCCTCAGTACTGGTAGGACCTCACCAGGAGCCACATAAGAAGAACCGTGATCAGAACAACTGTGAAGTTGAGAAACAGCTCCCGGGTAGATCGCTCCATCTTCAGAACGTCTGGATGAGAACTCCAGGCAAACTTCTGAGAACACACCAAGGACCTCTGGTTGGTCTTCACTTCCTAATAAAGTAAGAGACACAAAATAAGAGACATGTGAATGTTCCCAGAAGATGTTCAGTCTTCCTTAAAGGAAATGGAAGTCTTGGAAGAGGAAAGTGTTTGTGCTGACTTGCCCAACCCTTCCTCCTAAATTTATCATTGAAATCTTGGAGATATGGTCTCCTAAGAGGTAAGTATGTTAATGAGGCCAGAGTCATAGGTAACTTCAGCATCAACTTGATATAGACCTAAAATCACCTGGGAAGAAGGACTTTGTGGTGGTTTGAACAGGAACGGCCCCCCAGAGACTTGCGTGTTTGAATGCTTGGCCATAGGGAGTGACACTGTTAGGAGGTGTGGCCTTGTTGCAATTAGTGTGGCCTCATCAGAAGAAGCGTGTCATGGTAGGGGCAGGCTTTGGGGTCTCCAGTTCTCAGGCTATGCTCAATGTGGCACCCAGCCTCTCCTTGCTGCCACCTGAGGATCAAGATGTAGAACCCTCAGCTCCTTCCAGCACCATGTCTGCCTGCAGGCTGCCATGCTTCCCACCATGATGACAATGGACTAAACCTCTGAACTGCAAGCCAGACCTTATTAAATGTTTTACTTTATAAGAGTTGCCATGGTCATGGTGTCTCCTCACAGCAGTAAAACCCTGAGGCAGAACCCAACTGAATAATTCCTCCCACATTGGGAGGCTCACAACTGCCTATAGCTCTGACGGGATCTGATGATCTTGGCCTCCTTGAGTACCTACGTTCATGAGCACATGCCCACACACAAACAGATACACATAATTTAAAATAGTAAAAAGAAATATTAAATAATAAAATAATTCTTTAAAAAAATAGAAAGGTAGTTGAGCAAGCCAGGGGAAGTAAGTCAGTGAACAGTGTTCATGGTCTCTGTTCCAGTTTCTGCCTCCAGGTTCCTGCCCCAAGTTACTGCCCGGGCTTTTCTCCATAAAGGACTATGCTTGTAAGCTAAAAATAAACCCTTCCACCTTAAACTGCTTTGCTTCTGTGTTTTACCACAGAAAGAGAAACAAACTAGATCAGTGACTACAGGGGCCCCTAAATCAATATGACTGGCATTTTAAGAAGAGGCAGTTAAGACACAGACATTATAGAGGGAAGACATTGTAGAAACACAGAAACAATGGTCATTCTCAGGCCAAGAAGAAAAGCTTTAAAGGAATCAGCCTTGCCAATGTCCTGGTCTCCAACATCTGACCTCAGATTTTATTTGAAGTTAAGCTACCACTCCTCTCTGAAGCTCCAGCCTGGCAGCTAACATTGAAAATTTTGGACGTGCCATCCTCTACAATGAAATGAACCAATTTCTCAAACACACCCACACAAAGACAGAGGGAGAGAGAGAAAGAGAAAGAGAAAGTTAACTGTGTTTCTCTGAAGAATGTGGATGAACTCAGATAGCCCAGTTTCTCTTCCTGCTGTCATCCCAAGACCGGTATGTTTATCCTGTATTAGTGGCATAGTTTAGTGTAAGAGATAAAATATTACATTTTTCTCTCTCCATCTCCAGCATGTCTATATATGCGTGTTAACTTTGTTTTTGTTTTTTTTTTAAATATCTGCAAGCAAGGACACTGAAACAGGAAAAACACTATAGTTTAGTTTTGCTCTTTCTTCAGATCACATTTAGGAGTAGGATAAAATCTTTCAGATTTAAAGATGCCTTAGGTCTTCATCCAACCCTGGTGAAAGCACAAGGTAGCTCCAACAGCTGCACAGCTTCGTATAAGCCCACACTGGCGCAAAGCCGGCAGAGGTCAACCAGAAGTCCCTCGCACAACAGGTACTCGGGCCAAAGAACAAGTGTTAACCTCATGAGCATTTCTGTTTCAACAAGGGCTTGTGCCAGTTATTTTTAGTCAAGCTCAGGATGTGCCTAGACTGTAAACATTTCAGACAGCAAAGATGGTATCTTCAATGTGCATACAGATTATACGTGCAAAAAAGTATGCTCCAAGAGTGCAGACAACACTGTCAATCAGACTGTTAATTTTGGTTAAGTAGTGAAATTGACGCTTGGTTTATACAATCAAAATAAAATCTAAGTCTTCTATATTTTAAATAATTTAAGTAGATACTATTATTTTAGGACAAAATTCTAGCATGGAAAGAAAAGTTTTAGATGGAAAGAGTACTGGTTTGCAAAAGATCAAAGTTCAAGGGGCCAAAGCTTTGCAGCAACTTTTGGCCTGACTGAGTTAACTGTAACTGTTATGTTTGTTGTATCATCAATGGACCAAATTATTAATTCCATAGATATCAGCAGAATAATCCAGTTTGTTACTTAATTGTTAGCATAATATACAGTATAATAACATACCACATTATGCCAATGAACCCACTATAGAATCTCATTTTAAAATATAGCCAGTGATGATTGATTTACGTTTCATTTCCTTTTGGTTCTTAATTTTTATTATGTCTATGTATGTATTTGGTGCTGGGGACACATGTATGTCACAGTACACATGCAGAGGTCCAAGAACAATTCTCAGGAGTTGGTTTTCTCTTTCCTCCTGGGGAACCTGGAGATTGAATTCAGGCTATCAGATTTGGCCTCAACTGCTTTTATCTGTTGAGCCATCTTGCCAGCCACTTCTCTTTCAATTCTAATCTCTCTTTCAGCCCTTAACATGATATAAATTGTCAACTACTAGTGAAACCCTTTGCCAACAGGTGCCTGGAGTAGGGAATAAGCAGAAGAAAATGAGTGACTAAGAGAGGAGAAGAGAATGTTCATGAGTGTTCAGAGGAGCAGAGGAGAGAGGGAAGGGATCCTGTTAGATGAAGTGTTTACAGCAAAGGATACCGAATGTGGCCCCACAGGGCCACAAATTGGAAAAAAACTGGCCACCAACAGTAGAATGGATGCGAAATGTGGTGTTCACATTCATTTGAATATTGTGGAGTAAAGAAAATACGCGCTTTACTCCAGCTTTACAGAGCAAGATGGATGAATCTCACACCATAACTGTGGGATGAAAGGAGGATTTGCAAGAATAGAAGAGAATGTGACTCCATTTGCACAAAGTCAAGAACAGGGAGCTTAATCATGTTGCTTTGGAACACAGACACAGGTGATAAAATTCAAAAAAAGGAAGGACAGACAAGCTCCACACTTGGGGACAGAAGGCAGAAGGGACATAATTTGGAGTGTACCTCTGGGATGTTGCCAGCGATCTATCTGGTTCTTGGTAAATGATAGTTACACTCGTGTCCCTTATAATTCATGCTTCAGCTACTTGCATCTTTTGCACTCTTCACATTTTTTTCCAGCCTCACCGGATTGACAGGCTGAGCACCACATGTCTCTTCTCTGTGAATTCACCTTTGCTATTTCTTGTACTTGACAGAAACCTTAAATATTTATTGTTTTGTATATTTTTAAATGAATAAAACAGCAATCCAATGAACTCCCAGTGGGTGCAATTCTATCAAGGCATAACTGAAGTCTGAAATTTGGGATGAATGAGAAAAGTCAGGCAGTTATTTAGTCACTCGTGTTCTGTTTCCCTGCTAGAAGCCCACACAAAAGTTTTTAATTCCTTTTTTGCCTTCTCTATGAGCCAAAATGGTTGTCCTGTGGATGCGCCAAAGCCTTACAAACCAGCACCAAATTGTACAAGAAATTTGACATCGGTTTTCTTCTGGGATGTAGAAAAAAAAATATAAAAACTAGAAAAAAGAGAAACTACATATCAAAGGAAAAAACAGGAATCAATATTCACTTCACAGCTTAAGAAGCTACCTATATGATGGTTACCTGTTCCATCGGGAAATATAAGCATTAGTTAACATTTTTGTTTGAAAATTGCATACACAGAGAGACAGGGAGATATTGGTAAACACAAAATCTTACCTGAAGAGGCACAAGGACACACCCAGGCTGCCCTAGACTTCTCTCTCCAACTCCAGCTGTCTCCCCGGCTGTCTGAGCTCCCGGGCTCTGGGCAGGGCCTGAAGTAATCTGAGGGAGGTGGCAATCACTGTGATGTCACTGGTGAAACATCTCAAAGAGACAAGCTCCGAAGGTTCCAGCCTATTTGTGTTCAGGGGGACATGGTGACTAAGGCTTTGCTCCTGTGGCTGCCAATTGGAAGCAACAAAGCAGGGATGTGAAAACTCTTGTTCCCAGCTAACTTTTGGTGCAATGATGTGGGATTTAAACCCATCTTTTACCACTTTATAAACGTCTCTACCCCATCTACAGGACATCATAAAGCAAGAGCGGTGGACCAATTTTAACAAACTGTTCCGCGTTGCTGCCTTCACTACTCAGCACGTGAAGCTAGGAAAATGTGATTTTGATTCATCACCCGTATCATTGGCTGTTTGAAATGTGAAGCGTCCTCTGCCTTGAACCCATACTCCCCACACCAAGCTCCAGAATCCTGTAAGTTCTCCTTCAGAACTGACTTTTGTCCTAGCAATAGACGTTAACCCCCACCCCAGTCCCATGAGCTGCCACACGTAACTTTCCATCAAAGCAATGCACAGCGAGGTCACATCTTCAACTAGCTTCTCCTGAAACAGTCGTAGAAGAACAGCTTATATCTGTGTCAGTTAAACTAGCATAGCAGTAAAAGCAGACAGCAAAGCCCAGTCATTTGGCTAGATAGGGGTTAGAAGTAGACCCGGTCTAAACTAGTGGGAATGTGAGGTATAGACTAGATAGGAACACCTAGACTAAATCCTTTTATTCCCTTTGTGTTGTACTTTATGCCTATGGATATTTTGTCTGTGTGTAAATGTGGGCACCACATGTGTGCGGCTGCCTGGAAGGTTGGAAGAGGGCATCACCCTGTTCCAGAAATTTGGGAGCCACCATGTGGGTACTGAGATTCAAACCGTAGACCAATGGTAGAAGATCCAGTGCTCTTAACCACTGAGCCATCTCACCAGCCCACAGACTATATCTTAAACAAGTAAGATGACACCATTTTCAACAACAAATGCTGGCTTAAATGAGACAAGCATGAGTTTGCAACAAGTCGGATGTTGGAAGGTAAGTGGAGTCCCTAACTTGTTTAAATGGAGTTGAAAGCCATCCGCTGAGGAATATAAACACGACTCTGTTAATTGTGCTGCTCAGTAAATCCTGTCTTTGAGGATAATAGGGTAAATCTGATAGTCCCCAGTTAGGGTCAATAAAAACAAGGCATTCCCAGAAAGAAGAAGCAAACACAATTCTCTGCATACCTGTATTCATGGCCAAGCCTTTCTCATCATCCCTACCTCCCCAGAGGCATTAATAAAAGAAGGATTTTTCCATTCCATTTCTTCATTTTGGTGTAAGCCCATCGAAGGGTAATCTAATTACAACATTCTGTCGCCACTTGTCTTGTAAAATGATAGCTTGCTGAAGTGACAGATAGAGAATATTAATTATAGCACAATCGAAGGTTGGCTGTTATCTGTTGCCATCTGGCAAATTCTGTAACTGTAGTCAGATTTCTGTCTTTTACCTCCCTCCAAGCTCTTGCCAGATTGTTTCAAATGCTGGGGAATGTTTTCGTGGTCACTAAGGCGCAGCTGTTCTTCTTCTACCCACTCAAAATTATTATTTGTCCACTTAAAAAGTAGCACTTTCAGTGTAACATATCTAAAAACATAAATGTATGAGAAATTTTGATTTCCACTAATGTGGGCCCGACAATAGGCCAAGCCTGACAACCCAAGCTCAGTCCCCAGAACCCATATGGTAGCAGGAGAGAACCAACTCCCGCATGGCCACACACTTATTCACACATATTTTTTAAGTAAATAAATAAACGTAAAGTGATTTTTAAGGAAAAACTATCATTAATGTCACTATAGGTAAAACAAATCAACCCCGTGCCATAAACCTTCTTTCATGATACTGCCTCTTCCCTTTTTATGACCTACTGGCATTCCTTATATATCAACTTCTTGGCCGAGGTGCTGTTCTGCCTGACAGTAGTAGGACATAACTGAGCAGTCTTTGACATTATTTCTATGCCTACTGATCTACAATTTAGTCGAGGGCCAGAGATGGCATGAAAGCATTCAACTAGGTGGTGGTGTTGCCACTGAGGTTAATTTTTATGCACCTCACCACCGTACTTTCCTTGCCATGATGAATCCAAAACAAACCCTTGCTTCCTTAAGTGGTGTTTGTCAAGAATTTGTCCAAGCAATGAGGAAAGCCACCACTGCAGTATAAAAAAAAAACATATACTTTGGACCTGGCAGAGTGGCTCCCACAAAAAGGATGGCAAGAAAAGGGGGGGCGTCATTCTGGCATCAAAAAGGAGAAGAGTGTGTAGGAAACATAATAAAGATGAGGAGTCATCAAACAACCTCTAGGCTTTGGTGACCCATGCCCCTGTCACCCCATTAAAAAAATCTGCAGACATGCTCAGTGTGGTAGTCTATGCTGTTAAGTCTCTGCACTTGGAAGGCTGAGGCAGGTGGATCTCCAGGAGTTCAAAGACAGCCTGATCTACCAAAAGAGTGCCAAGCCAGCCAGGATTACATAGTGAACTCCTGTCTCAAAAAAAAAAAAATCTAATGATGACAAAAAAAAAAGCTTGTAAGAACAAAGTCTTATGTTAGAAGCATGAGTAACGTCATGCTGCATGTCAGTTTCAGCAAGTGTAGCTTCCCTGACTTCTCTCTCATCATCCATGTGCTCCTCACTATTCCGACATGACTTCGGGGACTTGGACCTGACGAAGGTGGCAAGGAAATGGGGGCATGAATGACAGCTAGATGAACAGATGGAGGGAAAGCTGTGACAGGGTGGGCTGGGAGAAATTCCAGGACCCTGGATGCTTCTTATATAGTGTTGAACAAAGAGGCAGGGTCATTGCAGACAGCTGAACAAGGAGGTTGGGTTATTGCATAAAGAGAACAAGGAGGCGGGGCTTATGGTTGACAGCTGGTCAAGGAGACAAGTTTAGCTCATCTTGGTAGGAGCAATCTCTGTAGGGGAGCAGTCTTCAGGCCGTAACTTTATGGAACGATGAGAAAAAATGGTCACTGTCAACATCCACACATAGACCCAAAGGGAAGGCTCTGTCATTTTCCTCTGGGTCTGAGGCTAGGATCCTTGGCATAGTGATGCCCATGTCAACAGTGACACTCTGGACTTCACACACTCGGGCTTCCTCCACCCTCTACAGCTAGCTCCTCAGATACAGTTACTGTCAGGGCAGGACAGGGAAAGTGCATGACAAAGGGCCGAGGTCACTAGCCTGCTATTACGCCTGAGAATGCTAGCTGGTACCAAGTAAACAGTACTGCATACAAAACATTGTTCTAAGCACAAATAACAATACAAAATAGGGCCAAAGCCACAGAGAGAAGATAGTTTAAGAAGGGCTACTTACAATAACCAAATTATGGAGCCATGAGTGGTCATCAACAGACAAATGCATAAAAAAAGATATGATACATTGCACAATGGAAGACTACAGAGCCTTTAAAAAGACCTAGGAAGTCCTGTAATATGTAACAGCATGGATAAAACTGGAGAACATCGTGCTCAATGAAGGAAGCTGCGCAGAGAGAAACAAGAATGTGTGGAACCCCAGCCGACCCCCCACAAATGAACTCATAAAGCAGAGCAGAGCAGTGATTACAGAGGCTTCAGAGTGTGGGAGATGATGGCTAGAGGGGACAAAAGGAGGAAGTGTTGTCTCACTGCAAGTGTTTGAGATCTATTGTACAGCATTATGGCTACAGTACTATGTGAGATACAAAACTGCTACAAGTATGTCAGGGTCTTCTAGAGAACAGAACCAATTATATACAGATGTACATACATAAATTCACATGGAGAGGTTAGGTGATAGATAGATAGCCAGACAGATAGATAGTACAAAGAGATGAATCAGCATATGATGACTGCCTAGAAGCTTCTCAGGGAGTCAATGAGGATGACTTCCCATCAAAAGGCTAAAGAAACTGGAGCCTGCTGCTGAGAGCTGCAGCCTTGCCCACACAGTCAGGAAGAATAGAAGCTGCACACACTAGCTGGCCTCCCTGTCCTCCGTGTTTCTTAACCAAGCTCCCAACCCAGTAGTCCGTACCACTCACCTTCAGAACAGGTCTTCCACATCCCTAATCCATCCTCTTTGACACACCCTGTGCAGACACACCTCATGGGTGTGTTTCACCAATCCTAGACATCTCTCAACCCAGTCAAAGCAGCAACCAAAACAACCATCACAGAAAGTTTCCATTGCTCTTACTACAAAAAGCACTTTTTAGATCTGGGTATAGTGGCACACACCTTTAATCACAGCACTTGGGAGGTAGAAGCAGGCAGATCTCTGAGTTCAAGGCCAGACTGGTCTAGAGAGTAAGTTCCAGGACAGCCCAGGCTACACACACATAACTGTCTTGAAAAACCAAAAACTATATAAAAATAAAAAATAAATTGTACTTTCCAGGTGATGGATATGTTCGTTAGGTTGGTATAATTATTCCACCCTAGATCATGATACCATTTTGAACACGGAATTATAAGTCATCATTTTACAATAAAACTTTTAAAAATTAAAGAGAGAAAAGCACAAACTGAGGCGTGGTGGTACTCCTGTGATCCCACTGTTGGTGTTGCTGAGGAAGGAGGGTCTGGAGTTCCAGGCTTCCCTCTGCTACATAGTGACTCTGAAGACAACCTGGGATATGTGCCACCCTGTCTCAAAATCTCGAGAGATAAAAGAGACAAAAAGATGGGAGAGAGGGAGAGGTAGGGGTGAGGAAGGAAGGGGCAGTGCTGGAAGAAGACAGATCTCTGGAAACAGCTCCTGAACGCCTTGTCCCTCGACACGGTGTCACACGCTGACTTGGGGAGACAGTCCCTGTGTGTGTCATCTCTCAGACCTCAGCATGTCCGCGAACCCGGTAATGTAATGTTGATGTGTCTTGCCCACCTCCTGCC